GGAAGTTATTTAAGTGCAGTAATTGTGGAATGGATTTAATTCATCCGTGTCATATTTGCCACTAGAAATAACACTGCCAGAATCAATCAGCTGCAGCTTTCATATTTGTTTTTACAGTGTATTTAATTCATATTCACATGTACAAATGTGCTGGCATCAGTGTATAAACCAGGATACCAAAAAAATGGGAATAAAATGTGGAATTGGTAAGAATTAGACCCATTTAAAACCCCTCAACATCTGAGGCTTTTAGATAGCTGTTCGTCTGGACCTAATCCCACCAGAGGACAAACCGGGACCCAGCTGTCCCTGTGTTGAAGGACATTTGCCAAATGTCTCCACTGGATTGTGCCTCCCATAAGAGAGAAAGAGGGAGTGCAGTAGCCCTTGTGCAGGAGCCTGGGGATTAGGGAATTCAGCCGGAGCACTGCGGAGACAGGAAATCTAGTACATGCTTCAGTGATTGCTAAATCGTTTCATTTTGGAGTGGATTAGCTTCACCTGAAAAGAAAGACTGCTAGGGCTCTACCTCCAAAATAACTTGTTATTCACTGATAAGCATTTTTCCTTGGGGATAGGAAGGAAGAGGAGGTCTCTTTTGGCAGAGGACTGTTCTGAACATGGGTCGCTCACGGAGCACATCGTCTAACCCCTGGATCTACTATTAAAACATGAAAACTTCCGGAGCTGACACCCTGTTTCTGCAGCACTGTACTGAGCCTGTGTTAGCGGCTGCAGGTTGCAGGGGGCTGCAGTGGTGAGCTGTGAGGGGGGCATTGTAAGTCACCATGTGCCAGTCAAAGCTGCCTCCGGCCTACAACCGTGGGAAAAACAGCTCTGTGTACGAAAACTTAGCCACTGAGCACCCAAACGTTACCTAATCATAGGCCTGTGGTGCCCCTGCCCATGTTCAGAAGGAAACAGGCAGCTGCTGGAGGCTGGAGACAAGCTGCACCCTCTGAATCAAAAGAGGGTACCTACACCCTTGAGCGGCTGTGGCCCATGGACAATCTGTGCTGGCGCAGGGACACACCCGAGGGCACTGCAGCCCATCCAAGTCCCAGGCTGGAGCAGAGACACTGAGGAAAAAGGCAGCAGGAACCATTAAGCATAGAGTAGCAGAAGTGGTTAAGCACACAGTGGCAGAAAGAAACCATCACAGACACCACCTCAGCTTCCTTCACTGCCTAGCACGTCATCACAGGAATTTTGATGGACTGAGTATAATCCACAGCAAAAATAAGGAAAATTGGGACTGGGAAGTATGGAGGGTAGATGGTTGTGTAAGTGTTTGTCTCAGTGTTTGTTTTCTTTTTTTTTTTTTTCCCCAAACTGCAATCAGCAATGATAGGTTTGATTCTGTTTGCAATGAATTAATTCAATTTAAATTACCTGACTCTAGAGTGTTTTGCCCACAACAGGGTCCCAAGCAAATAAAGATGCCTCCTTGCATCCTGGAGCTAAGCACCTGGTGGCTGAGTACGGAATCGTAAGCAACACCCTTTTCTGTGCATTTCCTACTTAGGTGTCCTCCCCTTTCAGCTCTAATTTTTCCCAGTCACATTTTTAGGATTCTGATTGTTTCTGTGTGTTGCACACAGAGTCTTAGTGCCTGTCCTCTTAGGATCTGCTTTCTCTAGGTGCTTTCCCTAAGGCACTTGAAGGTCTGGTATTTACTAGCTCAGCCTGAGTTTCTCTCTGCATCCTTATAAGCCTAAATACCTCTGGAACCTACCATAGAAAACACTTCAGAAATCGTACACACAGTAACATGCAAAATGCTATTTAGGAGTTTTAGAAAATAAAACCAAGATAATTTTCAAAGCTTTAACCTTTGCTATGATTTATGCTAAATTTCATTTTGTGGTTAGGTCTAGTAATAAGTGTTCATGAATAGTTTAGCATGTAACTGCCGTACAGTAACTTACTGGGTTTTTTTCTTGATCAGGTTCCTCAAAATAAAGAGAATTGGTTTTCAAAACTCTGTTTTTCTTGCTTATTTTCCAGTGGGAGCAAAGTTTTTTATTTAAAACTTTATATATTTAGTAGCTAGTGAATATAATCATTGAAGAGCAATTGGGAGACTTCTACAAGATACTGTATTCTGTGAATAAGCAAAAAAGAAACTTTTAATTCCCGAGATGGAGATATAATGCAAATCATTCTTGTTCCCTTTTAATTAGACAATTGTAAGGAAACAAAAGGTCTGCTTTATGAATGCAGTAAACGGTATATACTCTCCAGACATCTGCATGTTCTTTGATTTCTACCTAGGGTGAGTCAGCTTCCTCTGTCTTCAAGGCTAGGAAGCGAGCTGTTGAATGAATGGTGACACTGCTGCTCAGAAAAAAAGGTGTTAAAATATACCGCTTGCATCAATAAAATTTATCATCGCTGTTTCACAAGAAGTAGGACAGATCCTAACTGTAGGTTCACTTTTCATTTACATATGGATGAAATAAATTTCTTGAATAAGCTTCTGCTTGAATAAATGTCTCCTTCCATTTCAGTAGGCTGTTGTATAGGCCAAACCGATGGTTATCTGCCCCTACTCTTGACTAATCTAATGCAAAGATTGAGAGTTTTGATTCATTTTTATTGCTGTCTGACCCTGTTTCTGACCACTCTGTCTGACCCACTTTCAAGTGTTTATGAGCTCCTGACAGGTGTAGTTGGATGACTGATCCTTGGTTTTGATCCTTCTTCTGTGTGGTGACTAACATTTGATCACACAAATGTGTGGTGTCGGTATGGTATCTGATAAAATATTGGAAATACTTTATTTATTTGTTTGGTTTTTTGTTTGTTTGTTTTATCAACACCAGTGAAATACCAAAAGAAATCCATTCTTGCATGTTTAGTTGGTATTCTGTAAGCAGATGGCTAAAACCTCAGCAGTCAAAAGTCTGAGGTAAAAGCAATCAGTTTCACTCTAACTAGAAGAGCATGGAGAAGCTATGCTATCAATGTGCTTCAGACATGGTCCTCTAACTTAAGTGCAATCCTGTGCACTTAGAAATGCGTTTGATTTTGCTTTGAATTTGGTGCTTTAAACCACAAGGTTTGACTCTGGGCAGCTGAACAGGAAACCTCTGTCTTTAGGAAAAGGGCTGCTTAGATACATTTCAAGCACTACCCTCGAATTTCTTCCCTGACATGTCTCATGGATGGTTTGGAAGAAGGAAAAGACCTGAAGAGAGAGCTGCATACGGTTTTGTTAAGTTCTGGTGAAAAAAATAGCGTAAAAGTCTTCTCATCAAAATGTGAAATTAGATGTACTGGAGTTAAAGGGTTTATTGTTTAGAAGAATTGTATTGAGCAAATGCCAGCATTGTAATACTTCATCATTATTAAAGGCTGATATAGTAATAACCATGTTAATCTCATCAGACAGAATCTTTGCAAAATGCGCTTCTGTCTATTCAGGGATGATCTTGAGATATGTAAAACTTAAAGCAAGACTTAACAGGATCAGACAGAAACAAACCTTGAAATTGTGTCAATTAATTAAGCACCTGTGTGTGTCGTTACGTTCTGTTTTTACTCTATTGTTTTGCTCTTTGATGACTTGTCTCTTGAACAGCTGCAAGGTAGGCATGTATTCTGAAGGTGTAGTGAACTTTATTTGCAAAATTAGTCACAGACAGCCTGCATACGCAAACTATAATCTATGCATAAACACTAAGCATCCCCGAAGTTCCTTGAAGGAATTTGTCTTTGCCAAATACGCGGTGAGCCTGTGCATTTAAATGAGCTTTCAGACACATACACTGAAACTGTTGCAGCGAAGCGGTGCTTTCAGGTAGCTTTAATGTTACTTGGAGATGAAGGTGGCTGGCTAGATGTTAACTGTACATTCACAGAGTTGTGGCAGCAAACGAGCTGGGCACACTGAGGGTGTAGAGTTTAGCCTGAAAACTAATATGTGTATTTCTGTCGGACGCCTAGATCGGTTGTACCATTCTTGCTAAGTGAGCAAGTCATGCTGCGGATCTCTTGCCATGACAAGGTGACTCGAAGACACCTCGCTGCCTCATGGAGACTTGGCTGGAGCTCGGGGCCAGTGCGGGGAGGGCGGCCCCTCTCCCCCGGGCAGGGGCTCCCGGGCAGCGCTGTGGGGGCAGATCCCTGCCTGGCCCCTCCGCTGGGAGCTGCTTTTCATCTGCGGCTCTGCCGCTTGGCCTGGCCTCAGCTACAGCTCCCATGAAACCGCCGCCATGCCCGGCCACGGGCCCTTTGGCCCGGCCCCGGCCCCAGCCCCTGACCTGAGACTGACTTGCCGGGCCTCCCTGGGCCTCACCCCCGCCCCGGCCCAGTACTGGCACCACAGGGTGGACGTGTCGCATGACCATGGTCTGGGCTGGTGACCTGCGCCCTTGGCGGCCGCCCTGGGCCTACCCTGCTCGCCCGGCCATGGGGGTGGGGCCTGCCCCACCG